GAGAGAGAGAGAGAGAGAGAGAGAGAGAGAGAGAGAGAGAGAGAGGCAGGCAGGCAGGCCAGCCAGATGGCCTGCCAGAAGACGGGCGGAGGGACGGACAGAAGGACGTGGAGATTCAGGTGTGAACAACCCTGTGAGCCTGCACCCCTGCCAATGCATTATCCATCATTCTTTTCATTGTGAGTAAAGCTGCAATAGGCCACGTAGTTGGTGTATATGCAGTATTATGCTCTCATGACTGAAGTGATGGTTCTGGGAAAACCTGGCCGTCATCTAGAATGAACCTGTAAGGTCCTTTCCAACAAGGATAGCCCCAAGTAGTCTCTAGCAGGTCTCAGTTTATGTGACCCTAACCCAAGGAGGTCCGAAGTTCAAGATCAGTCCTTTGAGCATACCATGGCTTAAAACCTGAGTGCTCTCGACGACTGGAGTCCCTTACAGGTCTGGGTATTTGTGGCCCTGACTAAAAGCGAGGTCAAAAGTTGAACATCAGTCCTTTGGCCGTGCCAAGGCTTATAACCCAAGTGCTCTCGACGGTATAAGGGACCTGGACTGTTATGCATGGAGGAGGTGGGCTGGTTGGACAAACTGGGTGCAGGTGGGGTGCCCGAGGTGGGGGCAGGGTGTGGGGGGAGGTGGGGGCAGGGTGTGGGGGGAGGGGGGGAGGATGAGGAATGAGTCTCGTGCCTGTTGCCACTTTCGTGATTTTAGTTCCCTCTCCTTCGGAGAAAAATCCAAGAACAAAAAGCATGTATAGGTGCCACTGTGTCTGGAAAACAAGAAAATTATTTAGGGGGAAAAAAATGTGTAATGAACCCAGTCTGGAAGATACTCGTCAGATGTCGAAAGACAAGAAATCTCGGCGCTGAATAATGTCTCCAAATAATTGTGAATGTGATCGGTGATACAATGCCTTGTAACCAATGGACGAAGAGAGGAGAGGGGGAATAGGCAGATTAGAGGGTGGAATAGATATCCATCAATGACCACATAGATAGTAGCCCGACAATCCCCTCTCCTTCTCCGGTTTTCCCCCTCTCCTCCACGTCAGCAAACAGTGTCCAATAACGAGCCTGACAGGGCCTGATCACATCAAAAGTGCCACGTGGCACAGTTCTCCCGTGAAGACGTCCAACAGCGCGCAGTATCGACATCAACAGCAGGTACGTATGCCGTTTTCTCTCAATCATCCACGGATCCTGATCTCCCTCCTTGTCGCGTCCAACTCAGAAATGAAGACAGTGTGGCAGATGCCACGTCAGCAAAAGGGACAGGGTGGCAAGAGCTACGTCAGCAATGTCGAAGACAGCGTGGCCTTGCGCCATGTCAGCAGAGGCTAGTGCTGAAGCAGGAAGGCGCCAGCATGCAGCAGCAGTCTCGCGTCGTCGTCCACAGTGCCAGCATGAAGTCAGCGTCTAACCAGAGTCAAGCCAGCGTCCAGCTAGCGTCAAGCCAGCGTCAAGTCAGTATAGCACGACTGAATGTTGAGTCCCCGGAGGCAGGGTCTTATGTAGCAATTGACCGGGTTGACCTGCCTCAGGTCTCCCACCCACGGTGGCTCAGATTGACTCGTAGCCGACGGCCTTGATCCCATACAGTTGCAGACTTCCACTTGGCCTGAATGCTGTCTTGGTACCTGCATACAAACAAGTGTGTGTGTCTGACCGGCGGCCTGGGCTGGGTCCATGCAGACTTTGACTCCTGGGCCGCTAGGCAGTTGACTAAAGTCAACTGTCGGGCGCGAAGGCCCCGAGGCCTTTCTTTGGGGGGTTTTCCTTCCTCTGGTCGTCACTGCCCCAGGCCGGTTCACGGCCTGTCTGTGCCCCACAGGGCAATACGAGCGGGTTATTGCAAATACTGCTCACCTCCCTTTCGCTGCTGTGACCTGTTCTGCTCAACCACTCAGGCTCAGAAGGCCAAGGTTGTTGGGAACACTGGGCTTGACAAGCTAGGTTCAGAAGTACTGGTGGTTTAAGATCCAGCCTTTGACCTGCGTTTTGGCTGAATGGTCCGCTCATCCAACTCCTGACAAACAGATGGAGGTTAAGTCATGGGGCTTTTTGTTTTGCAAATTCTTTGACCAAAAACACTTATTGCTGCTGAAGATGAGATCCAGCCATAGCCACGTCACGAACCGACACCCCCGCGTGCGACGCGCCCTCCTCGGTCCCCTGCGGCACCCCGCACGGAACTCCCCTGCCCGACTTTTACTGGGCCCATTGGGAGCGTCACGCGCGGACCGCTTTTTCCTTTAAGGTATATATAAGAGAAGAGATAAATGGAATGAGAAGTTGTCTGAAAATTGAGGCCTCCGTTAACCGCCTCTCGCTGGTTCTGACCCCTTTTTACAGAACCGCAAACAGGAATAAGGCGTTTGTTTGTAACAATGATGTTGCATGAGCCTGAGTGTGTGTTACTGGAGAGTCCCATGGTATTTTTTCCTTTACGTCTTTCGTTCTCCTTTTTTCCTTTACGTCTTTCGTTCTCCTTTTTTCTCTTTTGGACCTTGAGTAGTTTTTTTTTTCAAATGAAGTGGAGGCTTGCATTGCTACCACACACACGACCACACACACTTGCTTCCCTGCATCCTTCTATTTTTATTTTTTCGCTTCCCTGCATCCTTCTAACTTTATTTTTATTTTCACTTCCCTACATCCTAAATTTGTGTTCCTCCTTTTTCTGGGGCTTTATCCTCTTCTGCTTGGAAATCCCTACAGCTGGAGGCTTTGCGGAAGACGAGGGAGCTTGAGAAGATAGAGCTGGCGAAGAAGTATGAAGAACTGAAGGTATTAGAATTTTTCTCCTTGCTCACCCTTGCCTTGGCCTCCTTCACTTCCTCCCTCACCAACAACCCCGCCCCCCCCCCCCCCCCCCCCCCCCCCCCCCCCCCCCCCCCCCCCCCCCCCCCCCCCCCCCCCCCCCAAGTCTATCCTGGCGTCCACCAATTCGGTTCCCTTCGTCCTGGCATGTCAAAGGGCCTCGTTCCACCACTCTCACCACATGCACGAAAGATAAAAATTGTGACGGTGTATTTTTCCATGTTCCAGTGGAAGATTCATTCTCATTTTGCACATTTGGTGAGTGGTTGAGCGAAGCCTAAAATGTGGAGAACAGCATCTGCAAACGACCACATGCAGAAAAGACAAAATTTGTGGCGGCGTATCTTTCCATGTTTGAGCAGAAGATTCATTCTCATTTTGCACATTTGGTGAGTGGCGGAGCGAGGCCCGAGATGTGCAGAACAGCATCTGCAGGCTATTGAACCGACAGCATTTTTTTTTTTTTTTGTTGCATCTTTCACATGACAGGAGAGACAGCAGGCTGTAGATAAGCAACGGGAAGCAATAGAAGCCCAGGAGGCAGAGGTGGATGCTGCCAAGCAGGAGGCAATGGAGGCATTGACAAGAAGGGAAGAAACATTGAGGGAAGTCCGACAAATAAACTTGGAGAATGAAGCTTCTCAGAAGGCCTTGGTAAGATTATATGATTTTATACCATGTCCAATGTCCATTACCATGGGGAAAATCGATCTGCGGTAAAATCTCCACCGGGCCTCTCTTTTTTTCAATTGCTTTTCTTTTTGTTTTGTTTTCTGCCTTTGTTGTGGCTCTGCAATTTTCCCACCTTTTTTTTTCTTAACAGCAGGGTTGCACCGGCGCCGACCGCCGACCCCGACCACCGACCGTTTTGCCCAGACCGATCGGGGCCGACCGGTCGGCGGTCCGCCGACCAGTCAGAAAACAACCATCCACTGATTTTTTTTCAAATCTGAGTTGGGGGCTGAACTGCGCTTGCTGAGTACAGCCCAAATCCGCTGAGAAACTTTTAGGGATGGGGGGGGGATGGGGGGTTGGGGTGGGAGTGTACGGGTGGTATAGAGGGGGTATAGGGGGGTATAGGGAAGGTATAGGGGGTATTGGGGGGGGGTATAGGGCAAGTTAACAGAGGAAACTGAGAGTTTGTGGCTCTTCAATTCTCAATGCGAGTAATGAAAGAATTGTCTGCGAAATTGCGGGTGTCTGAAAGAGAAGTGGACGCCAGAGCTCTCGCTTGCCCGGGCGAACTATTTGCCACTGAAATAGAGGAGTGCGAAATGACTCAAATGGGTGAAGAACAGAAGAGGGGATGTTGTTGGTAGGCAATGGAGGGGGAAACAAGGGGAGTGTGGGACAGAGGAAGGAAAATGTATAGGAAAAGGTGGAAGACAGGAAGTGAGCCAGGCGATGGGCAAGAGTGCCTAGCTCCCTGTCCAGAGCAAATCATGAAATGCTTCGATTTTGCACCGTTGTCAGTCGTACACAGAGCTTTTTGTACGCTTCCAACCTCGATCTATGAGCTACAGTCATCCCCCGAACAATAGCGCACCCTGATAATGAATGTATACAAACCATATTTCCGGTCAGGTACAGCCAAAGTGAGGGTGCATTGTGTTCGGGGGAAGATGGTAGGCATGCTCTTGTTTTGTGTGTTTGTGTTGTCATGCTTGCTGTACTTGTACTCCACAGAGAAAAGCATGACTGTGCCAGACTGTTTCGTTGGACTTTCACCTACTCATCAGGAGGTTGAACCCCGACATTCTGCCCAGGATGCATTTGACTGATTGAGATTGAGTCATGAACGACTCGCCACATCACCCAGAGTTAGCTATCCAACTGAGAAAAGTCGTAAACTTTGCACACACCAAGTGTGTGTGTGTGTGTGTGTGTGTGTGTGTGTGTGTGTGTGTGTGTGTTGTGTTTGTGTGTGGGGGGGGGCAAGGGGTGGTGCGTGTGGGTGTGTGGGCGGGAAGGTGTGGGTGAGTGGATGGGTGCGTGTGGGTGCGTGTGGGTGCATGCGGGGCATGATTCTGTCTGTCTGCCACTGAGTTATTTAGAATTTGTTTTCTCCCGGTTTGCGTGCTCTGCATTGAGTCTGCTGAAGTCAGTGTCATTCAGCAGGCCATCAGGATTTGAACTCGTGATCTCACCCTTTGGCCACACGTGTGTGTGATGCAACCTTGCTCCTCTCTGTGGTGTGCGAACTCTGAAATCTGGTTGAGTCGTAGAAATCAGGCAACTTACAGAACCGCAAGACGTATTGGCTGAAGGAGTTAAACCAGCAGTACTTCTGAGCCTGTTCTTGGCCAGGCCAATTTCTGCCATGCACTGACTTTTGTGCAATCAGCGCGGGCTCAAAATTTTCTGTTTGGCTGGCCCCGCCAGCCATATCCATTCGGGAGCCCAAGCCCCTGAAAGTAGCGGTGCAATAATGGACGCATCGGAACAAAATAGCTCTTCTTTCACTGCTGGCAGGCGTCATGAGAGAGTGAGGAGATTGATGGCACAACTGCATATACTCTTGACTTCAATAAAGTAAGGATATTGCACCTGAGGAGAAGCAGGAAGAGGAGCAGGAGCAGGAGCAGGAAGAAGAAGAAGATCATCTTCTGATGATGATCATGGTGATGAATACTACACCAGGGAGGGGTGAAAAATGTGGGTCGTACAGATTGTCTAAATCAGGGAAGGAAGGAGGAAGCAGGGTGCCGGTGAAGTATTGCGATAGGTGTTGGGGGATGGGGAGGGGGAAAGAGGGTGGGAAAACCATCGCAATATGGGTAGGAGAAGGGGGGTGCGGGGTGGGGTTGGGGTGGGGGGGGGAGGACACCGCAGATGCATGGCATGCACACGCACAAACAAAACGCCAAAGAATTACATGTGTCATCGTGTCATGTATGAACTAACTTTTGGCTGAGAGACTTCCTCAAAATCGTATTCTTACAGAACAGAGTTAGGTGGGTGTAGAGTCTGTAGACCCATAACCTTAGTATAGCCTAGGCCTAGTTAGCATATTTAAGGTTGTAGTTGGGTTGCCACGTCACACACTGTAGGATAGTTCTGAGATGGTAGGTAAAAGAGACAGTATAGTTGGCCACCTGCTATAGCTCATGGATTTTTTTTTTCTTTTTCCCGGTGGTTGGTGTGGGGGAAAACTCTTGCTGTTTTGTGAATCCAGGGTATCTCTGTTACTCGCCTTGATCTAGATGAGAATGGTGCCGGCATGTTCGAGTTTACTGTCGGGGCAGCTTATGCTGTACACAGGTAAGTGGATGCCATTTTTTTGAGAAACAATTTCCCCCTTTTTCTTTCAACCTTTTCCCCCCCTTCTCTCCTATGTGTACATCGCCGCTTTTGATTGTCTTCCTGGAAGTACGTGCCTTTGTATGTGTTTTTTTTTCCTTCTGTAATTCTGCTTCTTTTTTTGCTGAAGGGATATCGTCACAGGAGCCTTATGTAATTATTTATGGAAGTGATGGATCCGTTTGTGTGCCTCAGTGTGAATGCAATTGGTCGTTTGTTGATCAGCACTGATCCGATTGACAAACAGGCACAGAAGGATGAACGGATGGACCGACGGCTGGATGGACTGACGAAACTGCCAAGTAACTGACTGACTTCTTTTCTCGTCCATTGCAATTGACCATTTGTGAATCAGATAGATGGATGCCTGGACGTACTGACCAACCGGCACGGAAGAATGATGAGATGGATGGACGGCTGGTCGTTGGTTGATCAGTAATAATCCGATTGACAAACAGGCACGGAAGAATGATCAGATAGATGGACGGCTGGGCGTACTGACCAACCGGCCAACTGTGAATACGCCTGGAGTCTCGCTTCATGGTGTGTTTGTCAGTGTGATGGTCAACAGTCGATGGATGATCGTGTCCGCATTGTCTACTCCTTCTGGATGCAGGTTCTTCTTCACAGGGAGTGGCCCTGATTGTCCATTCGAAGGCCAGTTGGATGTTGACATGAAACGGGTCGAGAAGGTGCGTACTTTGTGTTATATGGTAGTGTCTACCTGTCCAGCTTCGTCACTATCTCATACATCCGCCATGCCCGATTACTTTTTTTCATCCACAATGTCCCACGCATGTTCATAGATGCTGACCGTCCGGGTGCACAGTGGACACGTTGCCGATAGTGCTGTGTATGGCACAACAGGCTTGAAAGTATTCGGGGGAGGGAGGATTCGGGAGGGGGTTAGAGGGCGCGCAGAAGGGTGGAGGCAATTGCGGAAGAGGGAGTGTCATCACCTCCTCGCTACCTTATCCCTGCGTTTTGTCCCATTGAGTGTTGTATCATGCAGTTTGTCTTTTCGGTCAGTCTAACGAAGTATAAAGAGACTCGTCACATGAAGCACTGTTCAGCCGAGTGTAAAGACTCGTTGCATGAACCAAAGTTTAACCAAGTATTAAGACCTGTGTAGCACTGTGTTCGCGTTCGGTGACCGAACCCGAACGACCGTCAAAAACCCTCCGAACGCGAACACACACCAAAAAAACGAAACCTCAGAAAAATCTTTAAAAAATATATGTTATGAAGAATGGTAATACAAACAACTTTTGCCTGGGAGGTATGTTCAAATTCGTAACCAAACTCGAGTTAAAAAAAAAAAAAAATCATTAAAAAAAAATTAAAAAATTAAAAAAAATGTTCGACCGAACACGTTTGGGAGACGTTCAGCCGAACACCCGAACATGTTCGGACGTTCGGAAAAGCCCCGAACATGTTCGGTGTGCTACACAGATTAAGAGAATTTAAAACCCATAACCATGTACTCATACAGTGAAACAGTTCATCACAAGTTTTTCACAACAATTGAAAACAAATGAAAATAAACGCCCGGCAACACTAATATGCTTAAAACCTGTGCTGGTGGCTGGAGGAAGGTCGCCCGGGTACCCTTCTGGGCAGCCCGGGGAGGGCAGGGTCAGGCAGGTCCCAGGCGGTCCCAGCGCATAATATTAAAAAAATAGAAAATATTTAAAAAATCAAAAAAATGCTTTAAAATTTTGAAAATCCGGGAAAAAAAGTTGTGTAAACATGAGTCGAAATGTACCCTTTTGACCCCCTTTAGTCAC